TCACGGCATAGCAGATGGTTTCTCGGATCCCTTCCGTCAGACGTACGAGGGCGGCAAAAAGGAGGGTGCGATCGGGTACGCCAAAGGATTTGGTAAGGGAATGGCCGGCCTCGTTACGAAGACGAGCGCAGCCGCCGTAGGGATAGTGGCGTACCCAGGAGACGGCATCGTCAAGAGTATGAAGTATCTGGCGAAGAGCGGAACAAGGAAACGTATCAGGGCGGCGAAATTGGTCGAAACCGAATGGATCGGCAGAAAGTTCGAGGCTGACCTGAACGCTATGGAACTCATACGGGAATTCGAAAGACTAAGAAAGGGCAAGGAGAAGGTGAGGACGTGAAGATGTAACGGCCACGGCGCGTGAGCCAAGGCAATGTTTGATATGCAGTGCAAAGTAGATATGGAGTTTGGACAGATACCCTTTTTGAACGATTATTGTTAGATTTCCAGCAAGGCCAACCTGCATCTTCCCAGGTATGTGATGTATGTGCTCTTACCTCACTCTTGTCCGTACAAGAGAGCCGTAAAGGTCGTAAGGGAAGGGCACTGTGGCGTGTGGAAGACAATAGCTGGAATAAGAGCAACGATGAGGATCATTTTAGGTAATTGTTCTTGCATACCTCAATTACCCACGACTGGTTGTACAGAAAAGGAGTATGCTGTTTGTTAGAGGTGTGGGACTGCAGGTGACAGGAGATGTAGGCCCGCCTAATTTCCGTGACTGCGAATTCCGCTCCAACGGAATTCAGGCGAAATCCGCATGCAGCGCATCCCGCCGTCTTACAAGCTCGCGCACCAACACCGCCATAATGTTGAGGTTCCTCGTACCTAGTCCGTGTACGTGTACTATGGTCCGGAATCGATAATGGAAGCCGGTTTGTTGCGCAGTACTCCTGCTCCGTATGGCAGAGCGTGTAGCAATTGTGTGAAAGCGAAATGCCGATGCATGATACGCGACGACGGAAGTTCCATCTGCGACAGGTGCGTCATTGATCCTATCTCATCAACCATCCCACGTCAAATCGACTGTCGCATGGCGCGTAAATGCATCTGCGCATTGTGTACGACAGGCGAGGATGGACATAGTGCGGAAGTCCTCGCTGTTGCACACCTCGCCACCTGTGTGACTACCTATGATGCAGGACATGCAACACATTCATAGGACATCTGAGCTAAACTGAGAACAATAGATGCCATCGACTGGGGAAAGAATGTAAATCCACATCTCCAGCGCGTAGGAAGGCATCAAAACCAACCCCAGTCCCAAAGAGGTCGAAATTGGAGGACAAGCTTGATGAAGTTGTCTCGCTTCTTCGTACACAGCATGCAGCGCCTGTGTCAATGTCGCCCGATGATCAACTCGTACTCACGCCGGAGTCCTCAGTTTTTACTCAAAGACTATCATATAACCCCGACAATGACGACCGCCTGACTCCTGAGCAATTAGTCGACTTTCGGACGACTTACCTACATCTCTTTCCCTTCGTGTACCTATCGGAGAACCTCACTACAGACGATCTTCACGTCAGATATCCACTGCTCTGTCGTGCTATCCGCACCGTGCTCACCAAGGCGGTCACTCAGCAAAGCCGGCTGAGTAAGCAGTTACGAGAACAGCTGGCTTCCAGGATCATAGTGCAAGGAGAAAGAAGTATTGATGTGCTGTTGAGTCTGATCATGTGTATTGCTTGGTGAGAAAACTGTCACGTATAGCCTTCTCATGATTAACCAAATCTAGGTCACCGTACTTTACCCACGGTAAGCAATTTCTGGGCTCCATGTGCAATCTTGCAAAGACGGTGGTGAGCGACCTTCGTCTTGACAAGCCTGCGCAACCGACGGGATGCCCAAGTCTAGGTCCTCATGTGGATAATAAGGAAGTTCGGACAAATGAAGGCAGTAGAGCGTTACTAGCTGTCTTCATACTATGCGCGAAGTGAGTTTTTGATAGACCCCGGCTTGGCTCAACTGATTGCGGAAGTGTTTCAATAATCTTCGAATACGACCTAATGCTCTGGTCATCGCAGATGGAAGACGCATGCGATTGTTTGAGCAAAGGCCGAGAATCTCAAGAAGACGGCATATTAGCTGCCAGTGCGCGTCTGGCGAAGATTGCGATCAGTGCTGCCGAGGTATCTCGAAGAGCTTCGGGTGATCCCAGTACAGCAAGATATGCTATGATAGCTATTGATCCTCTTACCCTGGCGCTTAGCAATTTCCAGAGATCGCTCGCACCTGAATGTCTACAACACTGTAAGATCGTTATGCCGTCACCCCTTCAAACACTTAATTATATCTAGGGCTCATCATCGGGCTCACCCAAACAGCCCAGGTTGCCATTTATGAACTCGCGCTCTTGAGATCGTCCACAACTGAGATGGCAGTGTCGCAACTCGCCTTCGACTCCAAGCGCATCGGATACCTTATGGAACTCTTACAGACATGTAAAGCCTGTCGAGATCATGCCTTGGCTGGCGACACTATGAGTTTGACAGCTCCATCAATGCTCATATGGTCTTATTGTTGCAAGATCTTATTTCGACTCTCTAGCATCAAAGGAGCAGCTGGCTGGGATCCAACAATTGTCCAATCAACTGTCGACATAGTGCAGTGCCTAGAGCAACTTGCGGAGATAGCTGAGCGGGCTAATTCCGAATACAAGGCTCAAACAGGCGAAGAAAGTTTGTTTGCTGCGGCCGCAGAGACACTGAGAGCTAAGGCGCCAAACTGGAAACTCCCTACAAGAGAGCATGATAACATCATGGACAGCGCAGCGGACGGCTGGAACAACGGGTTGATTGGAGATATAGGGATGATGGACTTTTCGAGCGACTTTTGGATGCCTAGTGCTTTCAATTTTTAACTTACGCGAGAGTGCCACTGCCATACCTACATGGTCACGCTATTGGGGAGCTGTGCAGATCGTAAGAATACAAGACTAGACTTTCATCGGTGCACCGGCGTTCGATCTGCTTTCCTTGACACAGATGCGGTTGCCTGAAGTCCACTTCAAACCCGAAACCCGTTCAATCACGCTCAGGCCTCCACAGTTACCATCGAAACAGTGCAACACATCAATGGACGATTTCTTCTTAATCTCTCTTCTTGTCCTTCTTGTATCTGGTCGCTGCATGCCTGCATCGCGTTCTGCTTTTCGCATTCATATACTTGTCTACCTATCTGACGCCATCTCGCTGCAACTCTACGTCTTGGATCGATACTGCGCAGATCGAATTAACTATAGGGGGCAGTCGGCATGGCACATAATGGGAACATCACTTCAAGGGACCAATATCTCAGTGGTCTGAGACTCTTTGTTCTTCTCGGCAGCTTGACGCTTGTTACGTTCCTAGTCTGCCTTGATACATCCATCATGGGTACTGTATGAACAATCTACGAGGCCGATATTAGGGATCAATACTGAAGACACCAGGCAATACCACGCATCACATCCGAATTCCACTCCCTCGCTGATGTCGGTTGGTATATTGGTGCTTTTACGCTTGCCAGCGCGACGCTGCAACCGCTTTCTGGGAAGCTCTATGCCAATCTCAGTACCAAGGTAAGCACCAGCTTCTTCCGAGAGAGTAGCATGCCTCTGATCACCTCACAGGTTGTGTTTCTCACGTTCGTGCTTTTGTTCGAGCTTGGATCTCTACTTTGCGCTGTCGCTAGCTCTTCGGCTTTCCTGATCGTAGGAAGAGTGGTTGCAGGCTTAGGAGCTTCGGGCATCGTTAACGGCGCTATGACGATGCTAGCTGCAGCTGTTCCAGCAGAGAAGAGTCCTGGTACGTCTGCAATTTCGTTAGTGCAAGAGAATAATGCTAATTAAGGTTTGTAGTATACACTGGCATAGTACTTGGAAGTACGCATATTGTAGCCTGGAAGTGAACATGGTCGAATGCTGACCAGATGATAGCTGCACAAATGGGTATTGTCGCAGGGCCACTTATTGGAGGCGCTCTTACTGAGCATGCTACATGGCGTTGGTGTATGTTGAGTATTTTTTCACATCTTGTTTTGTCCTTGAAGCTGACTGTGGCTCCAACGTAGGCTTTTACATGAACTTACCGATAGGAGGAGCGGCAGCCGCGCTCATCACTCTTGTCCGCATTCCCGAGCGCATTCTGAAGCCACGTCTTACCGTATCCGTTTTTCGCAAAGTTGTTTCCGATCTCGACCTGTTCGGCTTTGTGCTCTTCGTCCCTCCATCTGTCATGCTACTTCTCGCTCTGCAGCTTGGCAGTAGCGGAGCTCAAGCTTGGGATTCCTCCGTCGTTATCGGGCTATTTTGTGGCGCAGGAATATGCGCCATCCTCTTCATACTCTGGGAGAAGAGAGCGGAGGATCAGGCTATGCTTCCAGGAAAGCTGCTTGGGAAGCGCGTTGTCTGGACCAGTTGCGTGCACGCCAGCTGCATCATCACTTGTATGATGACAGCAAGTATCTGGATGCCGACCTACTTCCAAGCCGTGAAGAACAACGGACCTACTGATAGTGGCGTACACGTCTTGCCAAGTATCTTGAGTCAGCTTTTGGCTGTTATCGCTACTGGCGCTGCAGGTATGTCTCAGTGCCGACTACTCCGTGGACATGTTGGCTCACCCTTATCAGTATCACGTATGGGATACTATCTCCCTTGGGCACTCGCTAGTGGTGTCATCACCACCATAGGAAATGTTCTAGTGTCAACGTTTACGGTATCTACAAGCACCGCGGTATGGATCGGATATCAAATCGTTTTGGGCGCTGGCCGAGGATGTGGCATGCAGATGGTAACCCATAGTACTGCTCGAGTGGTTGCTCAATCACTGACACTTCCAGGCAATTATTGCAGTACAAAACGCCGTACCACCTTCCCAATACCCGATTGCTCTAGCCAGTCTCGTCTTTTTCCAGAACCTCAGCACATCTGTTGCTGTCGTTATTGCCAACACTATCTTCGCGCAGACACTCACCTCCAAAATTTCACTTTACGTGCCGTCAGTATCGCCTCGGATTGTACTTGATACTGGATCTAGTGCCAGTGCCGTACGGGCTCTTGTACCACTTGAAGAATTGGATGGTCTATTGAGAGCGTATTCGGAGAGTCTTCGCAATGTGTTTTATTTCTTGTCAGCTATAGCATGTATAGCTGTCATTGCGAGCCTAGGCATGGGTTGGAAGGACATCAGGAAGAACAGTGCGGAACCGGAGAAAGACGTGGCGATGGACGGAGTATGTCAAGACGGCAAGAAGTTGGAAGGGCCTTGAAGTAGTTGCGGGTGTGAATGACACCATGATTTTGATTTATAGATGCACCAAGGTATACTGGTGACGAGGACCAAACATCATAGTGGAGTTTTCCTAAGATTGCTCTATCCAACTGTAAATACGTTGCCATATTTCGTCGCTGTTCTTCTCCATAAACATCATATGCCCATTGCCATGGATACCAACTTTGCCAAGTTCGAGATGTGTAGCCTTGGAACAACCTGCCTGTTTGAGGAAGTTCACTGTGCAATAGTCGTACGGCGCATGGTAGCTGGCTTCCGACGTAACAGTGAGAATGGGCAGTGGCGCAATATTGATCAGCTGCCTCGGTGCTGGATCCATTGCTTGCAGCACACAAGGAACGGTCGCGTTGTTACTAGTCAGATTCGCAGGCTGATAAACTTGCTGGACCAGTTCTGCAGGGTCAGTTACTGGAGGTGAATAGTTCATCGGTATATCCGTCAAGCCCCACTTTCGCGCTGCTGCAGACCCGAAAACCGCTTCCTGGAAGGGTGGGCCCGTCGGCTCTAGCAAGATAAGTCCCTTCGCTAGACGGGGTCGAGCATCAGCTATGAGCAATGGCAGGATTCCTCCCTGACTGTGGCCAAGGAGCCAAGCAGGAGTGCCGATTAGATCCAAAAGCTGTGCTCCAGCAGACTGTACGGTGCTTTGCTGATAGGTAGCATTGGAAATGAACTGGACGTTCGAGGAGTAGAAAGCGTCAAAAGTTGGATCGCCCATAACGCCTGTTCCTGGCCATTGAGTGTGAAGTGTTGATTGAGGCCACAAGCGATATTGCTGCGGAGCAGTGAAGCGTTGTTGAATAAGCTCAGCAGAGTAAGTCGACGGGGCATCAGCGCCGGCCCTTGGTGCCCACGCGGAGCGGCCACGGAAGGTTTGGTCCACGATGTAGACTGTATGGCCAGCTGCAAGGAAGTGTGAGGTCCATGACACCCCTCCATCCGGCTTGACGAGAAAGTTTGTTCCAGTCTGACCTTGTCCGTGAATCAAAACGACGGGGGACTTCACATCTTGTTCGGTCGAAACAGGCGATAGTTTTTCGACGTACATCTGGTCCTTGAATATGTGACCGCCCTTGCCATCGTCGGCATAGCCACCGCCGACGTAAAAGTATGTCCGTACCGCTGGGACTTCAGATTCAATAGGCCGGTCATTCTGTGCTGACGCCAAGCAGGCGAGGAGCGTCAGATGTCGCAGAAGCTTCATAGCTGACGGGCCGCGTGGGACCTGTACTAAAGGGTGAAGATGAGACGAGGAGATGGTGTCGAGGTAGACTGCTGTGTTGTCGTGCTATGAGGCCAGCATATCCAGCAGAAAATCGCTGCTGCGTGGCTCTGATTCATCACACCGCCTTAGATGAGGATCTGCGGAGATGGTTGATCGAACTGGGCTTCATCCTTCTTACAGGGGTTTCATGCGGCTACGATCCTCCCGTATGTAAATTTCTTTTTCTTCGGTTCTTCGCGTGATACCGTAAGACACTAGGGCTCCCTTGCCCCCGTTTACTCGAATATGGTATAACTTTTTGAGGCGCCCCAAGAGTTCTACTGCTTGAAAGCGGAAGCCGCCGTTGTCGAACACGGCTGTTGTGGGTTCAGACAGATACCGGCATGGGCCGGAAGATTGTTCTTGGTCTTGGCTGCGGGTCCCATAATCCCGAGGTTTGTCCCCACCCGCCTCAAGAATTCGATTATCTAGCCTTAACAGGTAAAGCACTGGGCTGGTAGAACGGAGGTTTGACCCGCACGAGTACTGTACCGCTCCACGAGATGAACTTGCATGAATCTGATTCGACCTATTATCTTAAAAAAATGGAGGCTGTCTTATTCAATTCGAGGCTTGCGCCCGATTCCGATCCGCCTCCTCATACGATCCTAAGTCGGGCTTCTTTGTTGCTCCGTCTTCGCTCTGCGGATCTTGGAGGGATGTGCAGGATGTTATGCTGGTCTGGCGATAAGGCTGAAGCATAAGCTCCTCATCGTCTTTTGGCACGTTTGATAATCTTTTAGGTTGCTTGCCGCCGCTGCCTATGGTGCGTATTGTGGATGATGCGCCTGCGCGTGGTGCCAGTCTTTGAGATTTTCGACGTGAGCGTTGTCGCCAGATGTTGAACGCTCCATACAAAACAGGCGCGTTTACCACTATCGCAGCGGCAAGCAGCTCAGTGCTTGCCCATGTCGTCCGGTTTGCTTGTACAGCTGCATGCATTGCGTTGATTGGGAGTCGAATTATGGTGATTGCAATGATGAATACTATGGGGGGTTGAAGTCAGCGTATGTCTTACGTGCCATCGTTACAGTCAGGACCTACTTCCAAGTGTACAAAGAGCATAAAGGCGTATCTTTGTGCGCCATGGTGTTCGCAACGAAGAGAGCATTGGGAGTGGGAGGGCGAGTATCATGAAATCGGTGATCTAGCGACGGGCTCAAGTTAGCCTAACCACACTCAACAAAACATGTGTTTGGAAGCAGCGAGATGGACTCACGATGTTAAGGATACCTAGCACAAACAGTTGAACTTGTGCCTGAACACAGCTTCCGGGAGCTGGAACCACCTGCCAGTACAGATGGAAAGGGTCACACTCAGTGAAGCCAACAATCTGCGCAGCAACCCAAGTTGCAGCGAAGATTATGCCGTAGGACCAGGATATGTATCGCTTCCATTGTTCGCTTGGATGAATATGATGAAGGTAGAAAAAAAGTATTGCTGATTTCTGTAACCACAGGCTGTTAACATTGTTAGTCCACGTCGTTATGAACCAGTAGTACTCACTAGGTGTTGTAGATTGGACGATTCGTGATAGCAAGTTTGCTACCAACTGTGCGGCGATATATTTCGACGGGAGTGAAGTCTGTAGTCGCCCGGAGTTTTTCGGGCATGTTGTTCGTACCCCAAGTAAGGACGACGTGTATTACACCACCGCGCGTAGCAGCGCAGACCATCGCACCCATGGTACAGTAGTCTCCAAAGTCAAATTTCTTGAATAAAATCTTCCGGCAGACAAGGCGCGAGACCATGCAAATCATTGCGAGGGCGGTAAATAGATGATGGATAAATAATGTCTGGTCCATCTCGCACGGGCAGAATGCCTTGCCATAGCCTACGGGTGTTGTCCGCGATATGTCGAAAATAGCCAAGGATTCGATTGTGAAGACGAATCTGCATGTTTGCGATTGTCTCGTGTACGAATGGGCCAGCAATGACAAACCAGGGAGCCACAGTTTCGGGTATGGCCGAGGGACGCCGGATGCGCTCGCTGCCCAGGTGTTAACGCACTGACGCGACTGCCCTTGCCCTTGCCCCTGCTTTGATGGCGCGTCGACCAACCGATCTTCCGCTAATCGGGTGCTCGCGGGCAAGGTGTGGTTCTTCGAAGATATCGCAGTTATGTGAACGGTGGGTGGGTACCTGTTGTTTTAGTCTGTGTGCAAAGGAGAGGAAAATCCTAATCACAACCGCCGCTTAGACTGCTATTTTGCAAGGATGTGAGAACAAAGAGAGGGAATGCTAGATGTACTCGCCGGCTTTGCTTGCTCACCGTCGTTCTTACCCACTTCTGTCTAACATTCCGAAATCTCACAGACAGCCTTGTCTTCTTTCCTAGTGCTGAGCTCGACTAGCCTTGATACGAGCCGATCGACGATGCAAAAGCTTTTTTGCGTTCATGATATGCGCTCGTGCATACATCAGAATCCTGTAGGCGCAGCAACGTTTGCTGTGGTAGCCTGTGGGTACTCAGAGATCAGCCATAACTAACCAGCATCGCCATTTCGTTGTAAGCAATACCAATTTCAGGAGCAAGGGCAGTCAATGTTAAGGACATAATGCTCAGTCTCTCAAGGACTTGCTATTCAGAGTCTCCGCGATTCCTGCGCATGCGGTTGTACTTCTACTTGCATGATAGCAAACCGTCCATCTTTACCCGTCTCCGGGTCGAATCCGTTGTAAACCGCTTGTTGTTCCCCACTCGCCCTTGCCAACCCCTCCACGCTTCCTACGCTCTTCAACGACGTGTTCCTAACTAACTCGAAATTATCTCGGCTGTCGTCGGCGAGGCGTTGGTGGTGTGTAACGCGGACTTCGTTTGTGACAAAGATGTGACTCCAGTTTGCGATGACGGTAGGCCAGAATATGGGCATGCTTGCGCACATTATAGCGAAATCGACTTCGAGGCAGGAGATGATCAGGACTTCGGGATACCACCAGGTAAAATCAAAGCTTTGGGTTTTGCTTTGACTATGCTTGAAGGTGCTCCAAAGACGGAGGATAGCCATGAGTACGACGCTGAACATGTCAGCGATAATTATGAAATTCGACAAACTTGGCTTACATGGAACCAAGAGCGAACAACCCAGTCATGGCGAGAACCTGTTTTCGTCTCAGGTCTGGCCTGAAGTATTCCGTGAGCGGAACAAGAAAGATTGCGATATCAAACAACATGTTCGTCGCAGCAAAAGAAAGTACCGAGTATTTCGCCTCGTTGACGGTGCGATACCCGAAGCCGTAGCATTTGGCACCGTTGCTTCTGTCCCAAAACCCAGAGACAGGAAAGCATGGTACCCAGGCCATGAAGGAGAATGTCAAGCCCCATGTTACAACCAGCGCAAGCAGTACGATAGAGACTGTGCGACGAGTGCCTTCACGAAACAGCCTTAGGTACTGTAAGAGTAGCGAGATCTTGATGAAGGCGGTGGTTGTGTGATATGCGGCATTGGTGATGTAAAGCCAAATCATGGTTGGCTGTAGTACACTGAAGGAGTATATAAGATGGTGGCCCATGCCATACTTGGTACCTACGAGACGACTTAGATAAGCCCAAGGTCAAGGCGGAGATGCTTACCGTAGAGAAAGGTTACAAGTGATACTAAATTGAATGCAGCCGCCAGGACTACGAAGAGGTCATCAAGGCCAGGTTCGCGAACAACCCGCAGACGTGTGTGCAAACGAAAGGCAACGAAAATCCAGCAAAGTACCTGTACTTGTGAGCTTCCGGGATATTCTACTCTCAAGCTGGACATACATGGAATGGTATTGTGACGCCGAACATTGTGCCTTTCTGGTTCGCCAGTGGCACAGGCTCATTTGGGTCTGGAGGAGTTTTGATCATCTCACCGATGATGGCGGTGAATTCGTCAGCCATTGTGACCAAATGCGTATGCTACGCTTCGTTCGAAAATCGGGGCGCCACTATCAAAGTCTTCGGGCGTATGAAGACATGAAAGGTTGAAGTCGCGGTATGAAGAACTGCGACCTGCGCATCAAGGCATGTTCCTGAGGGACGCTGAACCCTATATTCCCAAGTGCCGGGAACGACATTGCGCAAGCTGATCTTTCAACAGGCTTTGCTGGTTATCCGGGCTGAATCGCATGCCGTTTGGGGATGATGGCGGCCCCTCCTTTGCCGAAATCTAGGCTTTCTGGAAATTCGAAGAGAATGCAATCGCCTCAGTGGACTGGAGATCGGGGATCTTTTTCGAATGCGGCTGCGAAGCCGTTCAGACGGGAGCGTTTCTCACGATCGAAGACTAGGGTGGCATGTCATCAGGACTAGACCACGGCGATGGTGCGACACGCGAGTCACCGTTATTCGTGAACAGCAGGAGCTGAAAACTCCACAGATGGCAGCATTACTTCTTGCAGAGTTCTTTTCAGGTTTGTTATTGCCGAAAAAAAACCCTCCAAAAGTCGACGCATAGGAAGGGTGTGGTTGTGGGCGACGACATGCTCCCCAAGTCTAGAGCTCCTAATAAGTACTGCCGAGGTGTTTGGCCCTGGCGCATCGCCAACTCTTTCGTATTTCATCCTAGTGCATGACACATCCTGCATCCTTGGACGCAGATCCAGATCGCCTGGAGCGGTGTCCACATTGGCAGATTCGAGACAACATCAACCGTAGGAAACAAGCAGCCGTGGATGGGACGAAGGATATGCCCGTCAGGTGTTGAACCCTTGAGCCTTCTCCAAGGTTGTACAAGACCAGCACCTCCTTAGGCGGAATTTCTGGCGTGCGCAAGAGTGTAGCCGCTATGAACCTATCAGAGGGCGCAAACTTACAGCTATCGGCAGACTTTCTTTTGTAGGACATTGGGATGTGCAATGATGAGGGGGGAGAGCTTCAGAGAGAGTTCAGGCGAACTGGTGAAACTACGATCACATGCGACCGTGCTTAGCTCGCGACAAGGTCCCTACGTCACCACAAGCGAGGCAAAGAAAAACGTGGTCGAGAAGGTTTTATTCCAACATCAACTCTTGCCCACAGCAGTGGAGTTGTTAGGCGTTCAACAAGTGTAATAACATGCGACAGTGTGAGGCGTGTGAAACAATTCAGATTGCGGGATACGACGCGCCGTCGACATGGCTAAAATCGAAAAGTCTATCAACTTGGTACTCCCATGCCTTTTACCCGCCCAACGCCCGTAGATGCACTAAGAGACAACGCCAGAACCGATGCGACATAGATATCATGAGTCTCAAACCTAGTCCTCCATCTTCATCTCCTCGAAATCATCCAGCAGCTGCTCCATAGGGATCTGCAGGCCTTCATCTTCATCATCGCCAAGGCTACTCTCGGTCTCCATAGCATCCGCATCGCGCTGCTTCTGCTCCTGTTGCGCCTTGTATAGTGCCATGGTCGCGCGCAAGTCCTGGTCCTCTTCAACGTCCTGCAAGAACATCTCAAAGTCGCGCTCCATCTTTTCTTGATCTTGCTTGCGAGGCAGCATCTCGCCTTCCTCCCTGTTCATACGCTTGACGCGCCAGTTGCGCTTATTCTTGTTCTTCTTGGAGCGCTGGTAGTACTTCTTGACAAGCATGACGTCAGGAATGGCGGATGAGTACTTGTTGTTGGATTCGAGGACGTCGAAAAGCTCGTTGTTGAAGTTTGTGTTGGCAAGCAAGTAACCCATTACCGAGTCGCCTACGTGTAGGATTCCACCGAGGTGTGTGCGGCAGTAGTATGTTGTGTCGTTGACGCCCATGTCAGAGGCGCGGGCTACGGTGGCCTCGGCGAGGAAATGGCGGCCGACCTGCTTACCTAGAGGCTCGATGTCGAGAACAATGAATTCGGTCAGTTCCTGTACATCGGCGAGGGGTCGGAAAGGCGTCCGCCAGTAGATGTCGGTGGCGACATCGGCTGTCTGGAGCGTCGAAGGGTCAAGTAGTTGTACTGAGGTACCGATGCGGGTGCAGAGTGTGAGGGGTGAGACGTTGCCGAGCTTCTTTGCGAGCGGGATAGGAAGGACGACAAGATCGTCTTTGCAAATAGGCACAATCTCGCACGAGAAGGAGAACTTGTAGTTCTTTGTCGAGGTGTGAATATCGTGCGAGATGAGCTCTTCGGATCGCTTGATGTTGACGGGGATGACGGCCTTGAGGAAGTCGCAGAAGGCCACGGCGTGATTCCTCTGGGCGAAGAAGAAGTCGATACCGTCGTGGACTTCCTTGATGTTGATTGTGTCCTTGTGGGCGCCATGCTTCAGAATCAGCTGTTCCAGGTACAGGAACGTCCTCTTGTGCGGCACCTTCTGTCGGACTTGTACCGACGCCCTCCATGTGTTGTGGGTGTAGCTCTTGGCGCAGTCTGGACATTGGTTGTAGTTTTGTGTGAACTCGACCTCGAAGCTCTGCTGCATGATGGCGCCTTCGTTGATCTCCGACTGCACCGTGATCTTGACCTTTATCCTCCTGCTGTGCGGCTCGGTCCAGATGAAGCTGGCGTCTATGATTCTCAACTTGTTGAGTCCGCGCAGTTTTCGCAGGCAGAGAGCGAGCAGTTCGCGCGATTCGGGGTGGGCGACGACCCAGGTCGTGGGAGGGGAGAGCCATCGGTCACAGTCGCGGCACATGAGCAGAATGGCTTCGCGCGGGATGCCGCCGGTAACGTCCGTCTTCAGTTTTATGCAGTCGTAGCAGAAGGCACCAGAGAGGGTGCCGTCAACAGGCGCGCCGCAGTCTGCGCAGAGAATGGTTGCGGCGTTCTTGGGCTCGGGCGCAAAAGAGCGCTGGCCATCCATGGTGACGCCCTCCATATGTGCGGTATCGTTTCGACGTAGGCGGGTTCGGTGATTCGAGTTACTTCAGAAACCAGAAGGGCAGGCAAAGGGTATATGGAGGGGAAAAACTAGTGCGCGAATGAGTCGTCGATTGGAAATTCCGCCAGTGTGAGGGGCAAAAAGTCTTATCTTATCGGCCGTCACGTGGCAGCCCGTCAGACGCCAGCAGGGGTCTTGGACAGTCGGTACAGCAAAACACCGATGTCATTGGGAAAGTTGTGCTGCACAACGCCATCCGACCTTTGGTGCCCGCTTTGTTGCCCACCATGTCTTTCCCAACCATCGCTTCCTCGAGGTTTGTCTGCAACGCCTGTCGCAGCGCACATATACGCCAACTTGTTCCGGCACCTAGACTCAATGGCGCATTATCACGCACCTTACCTCGGACATTCTCACGATGCGCCTTCAGCACGAGTGCAATTCCAAGATTAGACAGGAATGATCCTGCGACCGAAGACCCCGAGTTTGCATTTCTCGATGACAAGTCGAAGCTGACTGCTGCGGATGCTGTGTCGCAGCAAGACACAACAGACGTTGTGGACAAGTCGAAAGAAGCTCCACCAGTGCCCTCTCAACAAGACAACGCCATCCCATGGTACCTGAGACAACAGTCGTCGGTCCAGTCGCCCACGCTGAACCCCGCTGAAGTCCCAGATCTCCCGCCAAATCCGCCACCACTCCTGCAAACACTACTCGAATATGTTTCCATCACGGCCGGTCTGGACGATTTACAGTTGCTCGACCTCCGAAATCTTGATCCCCCGCCTGCGCTCGGCCCCAAGCTGATTATGATCATCGCAACAGCGCGCTCCGAAAAACATCTGCACGTAGCAGCCGATCGCTTTTGTAGATGGCTCCGACGTGAACACGGCTTGAAGGCGAATGCAGCTGGTCTGTTGGGTCGCAACGAGCTGAAGATCAAACTGAGGCGAAAGGCGAAGCGCATGAGAATGTTGGCAAACGTTGGTGGCGCTGCACCCGAGGGGAACATCGATGACGGCATACGGACCGGCTGGATCTGCTGTACACTTGGGAAGCTGGAAGCACATCCCGATGACACGCACATGCCAGGAGCGGATGTGGAGCAGTTTGTGGGATTCAGGGACATCAAGCCTGGCGTCAACGTTGTCGTGCAGATGTTTACAGAGGAGAAGAGAGCCGAGACAGACCTCGAGACATTGTGGGGTGGAGTACTGAGAACGCACCAAAGGAAGGATAAGAGCGCTGATGAAGCGTTAAAGGAGTTGGAACAAGACATTGAAGATCTGGAAGAGGATGCCGAAGATCCTGAATACCAAACACAAGAGTCAGCTCAAGCGGTTAACAAGTCACCCACCGAGCCCAGCAAATCTACCAGCCGCCCAGCACCCGCGCAGCAGACGTACCGCCTTCGTCCTACTCCGAGCGATCTCTTCCCACCAGCTCCGACGTCCGAGGGCAGGAGACAGATGCGCCGTTTACATACAGTTGGCTTTAGATGATTTATCAAGACGTAGTCTATGCGCTAAGCACTTACGCCGTCTCACTGAGCGAACCAACGCTACGATTGACGACTTGTATAACATGTAAATTAGTTATGAGCAGTGGGGTTGGACGTCACAAACAAGGAGACTCCGATAACAAAGTAGAAACTATCACCTGTGCACCAGCGGTAGGAATTAGCCACTAAGCAGATTTGTAAAGATGAACGCAGCAGGCAGTGAGTACGACAAAATGGAAGGCTAAGAATTGCAGACACTACATGCTACAGATGAAACACGATCGGTTCCCCTCACATCAACACAGCCATACCCTGAGCGTTCTTTCCTGCCATTCCACTCAGGTCGAAATGTTGCACCTGCTTCATGGATCCTTGGCCTCCAGATACATCCAGCACCATTATCGCCGCAGCCGTCGTCCCATTACCTGGGCTCAATGCGTAAACAAAGTCTCCTGCCGCACGCAGATCAATGAGACCAGGGTCGCCATTTGCAGATAGATCAAGTTGTTTGATAATGCTTGCGTCGTCTAGACTCATCTCCACAACACGGTTCACTCCGACATCTGTTACGAAGGCGCTGTTTGTTGCGTCGGAGATGGTAGCCCAACAGGTTGCTGCTTGGCCATCAATAGCTTGTTTCCCTTTGACTGTTGCTTGGCCTTTGGAGTCAATCGACAATACGGTAGCACCGAATGAAGCGTCAGTGACAAAGAGGGTAGACGGGTCGTTGGACAAGGTAGCTGAGCCGAAAAGCACCGCAGTTCCGTTGGGCGAGCTACGGACATCTTTCTTGGAAAGAGTGGCCGCTCCGTTTGAGGCTTGCACCGAGTAGGTGGAGAGGAAGCCCGTATTGTTCACTGTCGGGTCGCCCTTGACGGTCGTGAATAGAGCAGATTCGTCAGATGAGAAGAAAGTCTGTGAGACTGTGTTCAGTGGTCCTACAGGCGGTGTGCTTTGTCCGAGATCGAAGGATCGAAGCTCATCCATTTGCCCGAGTCCTTGCCGGGAGAAGGAAGCGCATGAGATTCCCGCTTTGGCACCTGTTGTGCCGACGCAGGCGAGCTTGTTCTTCGCAGACGCAGCGACAGTATTTGGGAATTCGCCAGGTATGGCCAAAGGCTTACCAACGCACGAGAGCGATGTGGCATCTCTTGATGATATGGTCATCATGGTAAGGGTATTAGAGCCAGCATTCACAGCGAATAGGTTCTGAATTTCGTTAGCCAAATATTCTTCGCATTCACTCATGGGAATGGAGAAACTTACGTTTCCGGCGATAGTTAAAGCAGACTGACCAACGAGCGCATCAGGCGTTGCAGGCTTTCCCTCTGCATCAACAGCAACAGATCCAGCACCACCTGTCTTCATCACTTTGCCTTTGGAGAGCATGCCATCGGCTCCAATGGGCAGTGCAACGACGGCGTTGTCGGCATCATTAGTCAACATATAGATGGCTCTTCCTACAGCAGGTTTGCCAGCATTCGGTTGTTGCATACAGCTCATGCCACCATGTTGTTGTGCCTGGTCCGCACCTGCGCGATGCTGCTGATGCGGTGCTGCTACTGCTACCGATGGAAGGAGAGCAAGGAGGATTGTTTTTGCGAACATGGTTGTAGTATGCGATGTGTTGTGGTAGTAAAAGAGAGACCAAAATTGAAGTGGAAGCGAAAGTTTTGGAAGTAACGTGAAGGAAGTGAGAAAGTCCAGCTAATCTGTTGGAGACAACTCTATCGATGGTACGCTCTTCTCTTATAGACACTGCCTCAGTACTGATGCCTTGCACTGTCACGTACCGAGATGTACTGATTATTCGATCAGGATTTCCTAATCTGGAATGGCTTGCACTCGTGCAGGATGACAGGGTCACCAAGCACACCCGCGGCGTCCCCAGGCTGAAAACCGCAAAGATTCTTCGCATGGCGCGTGAGACTGACCTTGCAGTCGTTCCTGTGCGGATCAAGTCCAAGGATGTAGGTCGGCTATGCGGTAGACACGAAACGATGCTTGTGTCAAGCGAGCGCTCGGTAGATCCATTGCCTGAACAAGGAATCTGGATCATGAAGCAATTACCAGAAAAGGTTAGCCTGGAGTTTCCGGTAGCAGACAGCCCCTAGGTCGCACAATTTAACATTGCCTCAGCTGCGCCTGTCAGACATGCCAGCCGGGCCGTTCTCATTGGCGCGACGCTGGGAATGGATACGGGATTGCGGGAAAACTAGACTGGACATCTGTTTGGCATGTATCGCTCATCGTCTTGACCACTGTTCTCATTGCACAATACCTATCAGTACTCGGGCTTGTGTAGGTTGACAGCACAAGCGTAGCAATCCATTCCTAATCCTCTTAGTGGGCGACTGACTGATCACCTGCACACCCCGGCACAGTAGAGGCTTCGTGCGTGATGAAGTTTACTTTCAAACCTTTCAAAGGTGATAAGAGTTCCCCAGACGGTATGTTATATTTGACCCGTGGTAGCCTAGGTATGAATCGCTAATAGTGATTTCGTCTACTCAGACGACGTCGATTCGCGCAATCCGGGGCAGAGGCGCAGAGAACAGGTTCGTCGAGCGCAAAAGTCCGTTCAGCCTTCATGTCCCGAGACCAATATCTTGGACTAAAATTTGTTGAATAGAACCCATCGGGAGCGAAAAGAAGCATACACTGCTTCTCTTGAAAGCGAAGTAGTTCAGCTGCGGGCGAATGAAGCCAGGCTTTCGCAGGAGGCGAAGACTTTATACTCTGAAGTTACTTTTCTGAAGATATTGCTGGCGGAGAACGGAATTGCAATACCTGAAAGACCAGAAGTCACCCATGGCGGGGAGAGAGGAGGCAATATAGTGAAGGAAAAGACGATAGCGCTGACAATCGGCCAAGAGAACAAGAGGAAGAACCGAAGGAAACAGATATACGTACAGCAGATGCCGAGAGAGCCTTCAAGTAAGTGTATTGCAGTCAAGTTGCAACTGCATTTGGTGATGATGTCCTCACTGATGGAACTCGCGCAGCCAGCCCGCCGCAACTCATTACTCCGCCATTGTCTGGCTCTACGGGATCAGGGTACACCTCTAGTACTTTTCCTGACAGTTCCACGACATGTATGGGTAGCCTCGACCCAGAAATTGTTGGAATGGACTTTGTCTTGACGTATGCGCCCTGCTTGCCCCTCACTAAGCTAGCATCGCTAAAAGTTCATACGTAGTCTCGAATCTCCCTGTTTACCACATATCGACGTCGCCTCGCCCAATAGTAGCAGCTCAGATACGGATCCTCCCACTTCGACCGGCCACGCCCTCACTGTCTCAGCATGCCTCTTCCATCATCATCCTTCGCCACCCGGCCAACGTCAGTTGTCTTCTGCGACTTGGGAAGTTCCTCATGCCAGTATAGATCAGCTATTGGCACTGTCTGGTTCTGTCCCTTTGCAAGACAGTGAAGTCACGCCCGTACAAGCATGGGACTATGTCCGGCGACAAGAACAATTTACTGGACTTGAAGCGGGAAGGTGGGAGAGCCTGAAGCTGAGCTTGACAAGTTTAGTACAATGCCATGGTTTTGGAGGCGTGATCGAAAGGAGCGCTTTTGAAAATGCGGTGTTTGAGGCTTTTGTTGTGGGTAGGGTGTTTTGAGGGGACGAGAGTTATCTGACATATCCCAGGGCTGTACTGACAGCCGCTCTGTACTGAAGAAGTCGTAAAAGATTGCGTACTTCATTTTGTTTAGATTCTTTTGATTCAATGAAAGAATGATGGTGCGACAAGAGCAGATTGCATGTGAGGATTACAGCTAGTTGCCATGATGCGAATTTATTCCCGAAAGAATTTGTCACTTCAGCGATGCCATAGTAACGGAGATGCACGACACGCCTCTTGTGCGTTCTTATTGCACACTATACAGCAACAGCCGACTGCCGTCTTGGTAAGAGCATGGTGATGGAGAGGTTCCAAAGTTTCTTCGCGCAGGGTCCCAAAGAACCTCGGTATTGAATATCAGTTCATGCATTGCCCTAACAAGCGAGATACGGGGGTACACGCGGCCTGAAGGGGTAGGTGACGGGCGGTTGGTGGCGTTTCCGGACCTGCGTTGCAGGCATCGCGGCCCCAAATCGCGCAACAATGGAATTAAGGTGCTCGAAGACGACAAGTCGAAACCCTGTCCTATTTCCGTGAACCAAGACGCGTTGCCAACCAAGATTGACGAAAACTGGGGGTGACAAACACACTAGACGCTCCCGAAAAGCTTAGCAGTCGACTAATCGATAGATCGCCCAATCGCCAGCCCCACACCAAACAACGACGGCAGCGTCATCAGCGCCTACGTTGCCACCTCGGGCCGGGCAAGTGTCAGCATAGCCACCTTGTTCGCGCGGTGATTGAAATAGTATAGTACCTGCAGCCAGCCCGTAAAACCCTAAGACACGCGTCCCTGGTCGTCCAAGGCCTTGGAAGAATAACTACCCGGCTGCCCCGGAAACACTGCGTTCCTTTGTTTCTTGTGTTCTGCCTGCACTACACAGCCAAGCTTTTGCCCAAGGTCTACCAAGCTGCGCTGGGGGAAGCTTCGACTACTCTTGACATTCGTTACCTACATTCGTTATCGACAGCCAACATGGTAATGTGGAAGCGTCTTGTTCCCACCGCCGTGGCGGCGCTGGCTGCCAGCGGGGTGAGCGCAGCGAGCTACGACGACATTCCAGACATCGAGGTCTATGGACAACATTTCTTCTACACAAACAATGGCTCGCAATTGTATGTATACCTGCTCTAGCATTGTCAAGATCACCATGCTAACCATATCGCAGTTATCTCAAGGGTGTCGCATACCAGCAGAACTACTCTCCCAATGGCTCAACAAGCGCCAATACCAAGTACACTGACCCGCTTGCCGATGGCGACGCCTGCCGACGAGATATTCCCTACCTCAAGCAAATCTACACAAACATTATCCGCGTGTACGCTATCGACCCGACCCAAAACCATGACGACTGCATGGCGCAATTGGCCAGCGCAGACATCTATGTCATCTCCGACTTGGGCGAGCCCGGCACATCCATCGAGTCAAACAACCCAGAGTGGGATGTCACGCTTTACCAGCGATACACAGGCGTCGTCGATGCGCTGAGCAAGTACCGAAACGTCATTGGTTTCTTTGCTGGTAACGAGAATGTTAGCAGCGACAACCAAACCGCCGCTGCCGCATTCGTCAAGGCTGCTGTCCGCGACACAAAGACATATATCAAGAACCAGAACTACCGCAGCACTTTGGGAGTGGGCTATGCAACTGCCGATGTCCCGTCTCGCGACGAGCTCGCGCATTACTTTGCGTGCCAACCCGGCAACGCGGGTAACACAACCTCGATCGATTTCTGGGGTTACAACGTTTATTCTTGGTGCGGTGACAGCAACTACGCAAGCTCTTCCTACGGCGAACGCGTCCAATTCTTCTCCGATTATCCGGTGCCCGTTTTCTTCGCTGAATACGGTTGTATCGAGGGTCTTAGCAGCCCCACAAGCCGTCCATTTACTGAGGTCGAAGTTTTGTACGGCAATATGACCGACGTCTTCTCTGGTGGTATCGTCTACGAGTGGTTCATGGGCGCAAATGACTACGGACTCGTTTCATTGGCTGATAACGGCGCAAGTGTGTCTCCATACCCCGACTTCACGTCTCTACAAAGCCAGCTTGCTTCCGTTACTCCGACCACCACTCAGCGCTCCGAGTACACACCTACCAATTCAGCACCCGCCTGCCCTTCAGTGGGTGGAACTTGGCTCGCGCAAGCTTCTCCGTTGCCTCCCAACGTAAACCCTCAGCTATGCGCGTGTATGGTAGACAGTCTACAGTGCGTCTACACTTCCGACGACGACGACGCTTACGCCGACGACTTCAACTACATCTGCGGCGAGAACGAGGACTACTGCAGCGGAATTGCGCGCAACTCTACAACTGGCGACTATGGTGCCTATTCTGGCTGTGATCCCAAGGACCAGCTCGCTTTCGTTGCAAACCAATACTACATTGGTCAGAAGAAGCGCGCAGATGCCTGCAGTTTCTCGGGTAGGGCAAGTACTCAGAGCGCATCGACTGCGAGTGGTTGTGCCTCGTTGCTGAGTGCTGCGGGCAAGAACGGTGACGGCACCGTACCCACTGCTACAGGCAAGGGCACAGCAGCTGTGAGCGGCGGCAGTGGCAGTGGTGGAGCAGCAAGCTCCAGTAAGTCCGAGGCTGCTGCTCCTAGCGTTAATGCCCCTGGCTTCTTTGCCCATGGTGATTTGGTCATGGGTGCATACGCTGTTCTGGCAGCAGGAAGTTTGCTGGGCATGCTTGTACTATAGGTTAGCTGGAGAGAGGTGTGGTGTGGTGATGAAGCATGCTTGGATGCTATGCAGTGAGCCTATATGCTGAGGAGCAAGTGTTTGGGGGCTTTTTTTTTGGCGTTTTTAATCATTGTTACAATTGACCAATATAGTTCAACTTTCTCTCAAGCTTAACTAGCTGTACGTACCACACGTGAAGACCAGACTCGGTGACTCTCGTGGCCGACAAATATTCTCAGTCTTGTCAGCATTGCTGATCTCCCATTGCTTTGACACGCACCACCTCTTCAACATCAACAAGCATCACAATTATCAAGAACAACGCATTGCACCAACTTCAGATATATTCTATCGTCTACAAGCTGGCCTTTTCTTCTTATTTATTTCTTTCTTCGCCCCCCGCTGCAGTAGCGAAAGACATTGCTGTTGTTGCTTTCAAGACAACGTCTCGTGCCCCATAGCCTCACTGTACATTAGAGTGACCAAGATACCGTACGTATGTAAAGCCTATCCTCTCATGAGGGGATATCGCTGTAAAAAGGGGAAAGCCCTAACCCAAATATACAGCATCCCCGACGCCGACGCTGCGCTTGAAGCCAAGAACCGACATTATAACACTCTGCTGAAATCAATGTGAAGTTGATGGTTTATGAACCTCGAATACATCAAAGCCTGTAATTTTAGCTTTGTAATCGAGTCTGTAACATGCTAGTACATGTTGGGTGGTCCAGGACGACCGGGCTGCTGGCGGGGAGGCCCACTGAATTGGCCATCGAACATCATACGTGGGTCTTCACCTCCTCGCATGCCAGGCATTGGAGGTCCACCATACCCAGGAGGTGGGAAGTAGCCTGGCGGACCCTGCATGCCATTACCACCAGGTCCTCCGGGTCCGCCTGGAAAGCCCAATCCGCGGATATTGCCGGCAGGCGGGAAGCCAGGGAGGTGGCCAAGTGGTGTGTTGCCTGCTGAGAAACTCGGCCCAGGGCCCATTTGTTGACCATTGGGACCATTAAGGCCAGGTGGTTGACGCATTGGACCACCAAAACCGGGGGGAGGAGCGATGTTTGGTCGTTCTTGGGGTGTTGGCGGCATTCCTGGTTGACCGCGTCCGCCCATGTACGGCATGTCCGGTACAGGCTGCGAAGGAATACCCATATTGGTCGGCATGCGAGGGTCGCCTCCGGTGTTACGGCGCTGAAGGCCCATAAGTGGATCCTCGGGGGTGGGGTATCCCATTGGCATGCGTTGATTCTTTCCTCGCATGGCCTCCTGTTGCTGTTGTTGTAATCGTTGCATATGTTGAAGCTCCAGCTGGCGGTCGGCTGCATCACGACGCATCATCTCATTCTCTGAAAACATGCGAGGGTCTTCCATGAAGCCGGGAGGCAGAACACCTCTGCCTTTGGGTTGGTGCTGAGCCGGAATCTGAGGCTGCTGTCTTTGCTGATCGAAGAAGGGCATGTTATGACCTTCCTGGGTCGGGCGAGGCAAATTATGGCCCTGCACTTGAGGTGGTGTACCACGAGAAGGTTGTTGCATCAGATTCAGCAGGAAGTCACGCTCACGCTGCTTGGTCGCTTGATCACGCTGTGATTCCTCGCGTGCACGACTGTTCAACAGAGCCGCAAGGTTTGCGTCTTGAGGACCATTGCGTTGCGGCGGAGGCTGATGGGGAAAGTGATCATCTGGGTGACTAGAATCGGGGCGTGGAGGTCTGAATTGATCAGACATTGCATTCTCAGGCGACATGCTGCTGAAGCGCGATTGCTGTGGAGGCCGAGATTCGGGTGGGCCAGCGCGTGGAGCCAGGATGTTCTCCAATATGCTCTGCTGTTCGAGTGTCCTTGGTGGTGGTCTACCATGTTGCGGGTCCGGCGGCGGCGATTGCTGGTGGAAGTCTAACGAGATACCTCCACCGTGCCTCATACCATTTGGCGGTGTGGGCATCGTTGTTGGAGGTTGAGGTCCTGGAGACGGGCCCGTACTGACTTGACCAAGCATCTGGAGAATGCGCTGGAAACCTTCCTTGTCAGCGTTCGCCTCCATGGCTGGTGCTGGGGACGCAGGTGTTGGAGCTGGAGCTTGGCCAGATGCTGCTTGTTCTTCTGGTTTTGCAAACATGGTCATGAACCTCGATTTCTTGTCAGGCTTGGGTTTCGCCGAGATGGTCTCTACTGGTGGGATATCCGCTGACTTGTCTCTACCCCAGTTGCCGAAGAGAATGCCCTGTGTAGGCTCCGCTCCAGAAGGCGTGTGCAGAGGGGCGGTTAGCATGGGCGGAGCGGTGATGGAAATGGCCGTAGATGTCTCGGCTGGTACCTCTCTCGATTCGTCCTTTTCGCCAGCTGGCGTGTCCTTGGCCCTCATCTGCTCCTTCCAGCGCTGGAAATCTTCTTGTGTACGAGGCTTGAACTCCTTTTTCTCGACCTTGGTGTCCATCCATTCTGGGTCTTCTTCTCCGCCTGCACGATTGCCACCTCTGTTCCACTCACGGCCGTTGTCCCGTTCTCGGTCTCGGTCGCGTTCACGCCAGCCGCCCTGTACACCAGTCTTGATACCCTCATCCTTGTCATCACGGCGACCCCAGCGCGGTTCGTTGCGCTCGCGATTGCCACGGCGCGGGGCTACGTCCATCTCAGGGTCACCCTCATGCTTGTCGCGATTGCGGTCGCCGTTGCGGTGAAAACGCTCAAAGTCCTCCTGACCCAGACTCTTGCGTCCCTTGACGTTGGTCCAGCCCTCACCGTCCTCTCGGGGAACGCGACGGCCGTTGGTGTAGCCCTTGTCTCGGTTGCGGTCGGTTTCGCGGTCCCGCGTCCACCGATCGTTCTTTGGGAAGCGGTCGCCAACATTGTCTCCGTCTGTAGAAGTGAAACCTGTGCGTTCCTTTGCGTCGCCCGTTCCCTTGGCCGGCGTGCGTGCTGACAAGAAGGCTAACTTTGGCGGGCCAAGCACCGTCTCTTCGCCAGGTTCTACAAAAAGCGCGTCAATAGCGGCCTTGATGCCCTGAACATCAGAAGACTTACGCATGCTCTGACGCCGACCGAACTGGCCCATGGGGTTGATCAGCGGCCGCTGCTCATTTGGCGTGGCCCCTTCTCCGTCTCGAGCGCCCCGAGTGCGACGCATAGTGCCGTTGTTATTGTTGGCGTGGCCATTGTTGGTGTTTTGGTCGGCAGGCACGTCCATCCATTGTGAGATTGAAGGCAGTCCATCAGGCTTCTTGACTAGTGGAGACTCCTTCAGAGCCAACAGGTCAGCCTCCGAATAGGTAGGCCCCCGCATTCTCGCGAGCTCAGCGCAGCGCGAATGTGCAGGCAGGTATAGGGTAGGTTAAGCTTGTCGTGTTCAGCGTCGAGAGACGAGCCGTTATGTAGGTGGTAAGGTGTTTAGTGAGTGATGATGGGTGAAGAGACTGCCTCGAGACAGCCGGGTGGTGAATCGCCTGTCTCGCTTGCAATTGAACAATGCCCGCTCTGCAACCCTTTTAGAGACTGAGAATGGGACGTCGACGATGAATGCGATACAAATGGACGTTTGCGATGGGATGATGTTGAGCGATTGCAGTATGGGTCGAGTTCGAGGCGCGTGCGTATCGCAAGTTGCTGGGCGAGGTGAAGGAGCTCGAGGTGGGATGCAACGTGGTAGGGGAGTAGCGCACCCCTGCTGCTGTAGCGGCGACGGAAAGCGGAGAAGAAACAATTGCGAGCTCACGTCTTTACGGCAGAGCAGTAATTTCGGAATGGAAAAGTCTCGGGTAGTTATGGGGCACTTTGGTTTAAGCAGCGGGCGTGTGAGTAATAGCGCAGGTGTTTGTTGTGGTTTTGTGTCCCAGGTCGCGAGTGGTGCGGGTCTCTCTGAGAGCCAGCCCTGGAGACACGCGCCAAGCAATGCTGCGGGAACAAGTAGGTGCGTCATATTGGGGTCCGCGACATGTGCCCACAGCGTGCACTACACCAGGTAGACATGGCCTCACGTTCATCGTTATCAGATTACGGCACGGATACGAAAATCAGACCACGTCGCGTGACAATGACTGCCTGGAGTTTTTGCTAGGCACTCGCGCCACAGATGAACTATGCATGACCCCCAAATTAGGAAGTCGCAAACAACGCCCTGTGTTTAAACGGAGGAAACACGCTGCAATGCTCTCGAATCGGTTTCCCAAACGCCTCATAAGGCTCAAAGATGCGTACTAAGACTAAACAACATCAGACCTTCGCAAGGGAGGCCATCGTCTGTGCGAGGCTGTCACTGCTCCACGCAGCTACCTTCTCTCGATCGCACGTTTCATAGACACGTCCTGCTAGTGTCTTCAGTGCACGGTGTCGCGGATCGTAGCCATCGAGCATCATCTGGATCCATGGGATAAGCCCACACCTTGTGATGAGCGTTGTACTGCCTCCCACATGTGTTGCTCGCAGCAGCAGCCTCACAATCTTGTCCTTCGCCGAAGCTGGACACGATCGTGATCCGTAATGAGTCAACAACTGCTCGAATATGTTGCTCCTTCGGAACAACTCCATATCTGCAGGCGTCCGCAGACTGTCCATGAGGTAGTCAAAGTACCAGTCCACTTCCTTGTGATACGTTGTATCGTCGTCAGGTTGGCTGGCAACGATGCGATGCCAAAAGAAGCGTAGTAGAGTGGTAACATCCCAGGCTGGGGCGGTGGTGAGAAATTTGTTTACTGTGCTGAAGAGAGAGTGCGTGGGATCCGCCACAATACCCGCACAACGAGCGGCCAGCACGCCGCCAACGTACGGGAAAGCTTCGGCACCAGTCAAATCCACCGATTCCAGGAGCTCGCCGAGGAGGAGATAGAGTTGCTGGAGTTCAGAGTCCATATTGCTTCCTTGTTGTCCTGCAGCGGCCTCGTCCTTTCCGGGTACATGACGACTGCTGGATTGTATTGTCGCCGTGAGCTGTCGAATGTTGTTGATGGCTTGTATGCGAATTTCTGTGTGCTCAGAGCAGAGGCACAATAGTAGTTCCCCAATATCTCCATCATCAAGAGCTTCGCCAAGCTCCTTCTTCCTCCATCGTGTAAGTCCGGTATGCTTTTCGTCTTCCACAGGCGGCGCCTCCAGGTCGATAGCAGATCTAGACTTGCCTTGCTGCTCAGTCTCTTCCGTGGGCCTGGGGACCGGCGATGTCGAGGATCTTTCCGAGCCACTGAAATCTGCTCCAGTTGCCAGCTTCAAGGCCTCCTTAGCTCTTTCCTTGCCCATTTTCCACAGAAACGCATCCTTCAAGACCTCTTTGTATGCCACGTTCGCAGACTCTACTAAAGCATTGCGTACATGCTCTAGTTGCGTCTCATCTTCGCCAATCAATTTGAGAAGATATAGAAGTCTCGACAACCATTGCGCGATGGTATCCGCCGTAGTGCCTACTGACGTCTCCCCACCCTTGAATGGCCACTGTTCCACCAAAGTCATCAACAGTGTGCTGAAGGGGCCAAGGCTGCTTGCAGATTGCCCAGTACGTTTACGCATGGCATCCAGGTCATCGAAGTATTTGATAGGTACTTTGGTGAACCGCGCGCAGCAGTCATCTAGGAACCCCAGGACGTCGCAGGATGGTGTGGCCGACCCAGAGGTCGACCCCAAGCTTGCGATAAGAGCATCAAGCGCATCGGGTGAAGTTTTCGTCTGCAGCATTTCCTGGTCGTGCAAGATGTCGCTTAATAAGGATCTAATACCTGTATACAGTTCACTCTCTTTCGACGTTACCAGCAGCTTAAGAAGCGTCACAAACGGTGAGTACTGGAGTGATTCTGCTTAGGTTAGTAATGGAACTATTGTAGCTCAAAAGAAACCTTACTCTGCTTTTGCCACCATCGCATAGCAGGCGAAAGCTTTGCCATCTGTATCCAGTGCTCAAGTTCCATAATACGGAAGACTTTATCTTCAGGTGATGCTGTAGGCTTGTCGGCCTCCACTAGCGCATTGCATAGCGGTACCGACACGTCGAATTTCTCTTGTAGCGCAACTTGGGGTGTGGCTTCGTAGTAAAGCCGCAGTAATCTGGTAATTGACTCTCGCTTCATGTCTTTCAGACCCGGCTTCTTGAGCGCCAAGAATACAGTGCGAATGGGTGGGCAACGCCGACTGACTTCTGAGATCAGACGCTTAGCTGCTTGGTTCCATTGCTTAGAAGATCTGGTAGCACCGGCATCATTGAGCTCTCTAAGAACAGCTTGTAGCTTCTGAAGCGCTACTATCAGGACACGGATAGCGAATAGCTGAATAAGGTCGGAGTTGTGGTTGAGACATTTGGTAAGAACTTGCTGATTCAGTGGTTGTGGCAAGATGCTGTTCATCAGCACGGGTACTGGAGGTGGGTGGTCGCGGAAGCTTCTCTTCGCACCGAAGTACTTGGGCACGGGGAGCTGGATAGCTTGATAAAGGAAAGCAGAGTATCCTATCCATGTCGAGGTGAGCTTGGGATCGTAGCTAAAGTCGCGTCGCTTGATGAAGTAATCTGCAACCAGCTCGGGACAGGCTCGAAAGATGTCAACAACAAGCTCTTGGTGAAGGGTATTTGCGTATGGTCTTTGACTCTGTATAAACTCAGAGAGAATGACGTTCCGCACTTTGGGAGTCTTGCTATAGTTGTCAACTGACTCGAGGCCCAGGTCATTGCCGTAATCAGCGGCATCGTCCTGTTCGCCCTCGACGTCATCGAAGGTCGACGGATAGAAGCCTTGTGTAGGCAGCATAACACCATAGGCAGGATCTGTACAGACCAGGCGAAGGAAGTCATGCGCGAGCTGATCAGGTGCCTTCTGTCCTTCCGAGAGGGAGCCTTCCTCCACCTCGTAACTGTACAGACTAGCTATGCGAGAGAGTGCCTTTCCGTTCAAGATCCTACTCTTTGTGTGTCTCGCGATAGCCTTGTCCTGGAAAACATGGCTTTTGAACACATCGAGTATCTCGTAGATGAGGAAAGGCGGGTCTGCGCGGATATGATCGAAGACAGCACGGACAACGTTGGTGTTTGATAAGATTTCGCTCTTTGCCCGCTCGTCCTGATACCTCAGGTGCATTAGCAGATACCTGATGGCTGTCGTGCGAATGCTTGGTTTCTTGACATGGTCCGCCGCCGACTGCTCTCTTCCAAGATTGATGTTCCTTCCAAGTATTTTGGGCTCAAGTGTAAAGTCCCTCTTCGCGTAGACGGCTCTTGCATGCGCACCCTCGTTGAAGCGTACAAGCTCGGTAAGCAATCGCAATGCCGGCGCAATGACATTGTCCTCTTTGGGTGCTGCCGATGTACTACGGACAAAACGGCGAGCGATGGATGGCTGCAGGAGTGTCTTGGCAAGAAGTGTGCCGTACTCGAGGAAATCACCGTGGCTGGCAAAGACCTTGAACAGGAGCGCGAGCACAGCTGTTACCTGCGAGACAATCGCACTGTAGTTGGTTTCCACAGCATGATCCCACCCCTGGGTGAGGTTCTGCAGAAACGACTTGTCCTGTTCATCCCGTCCTCTTCCTTTTTGTGTGTCCAGGTACTCGCGAAGTATGGCTCGCTTGCGGGGCAGGTCGTGCTCATCGGTTGGGTAGAGGATTGAGTCGAGGAAACGCTTGAATAAACTCAGGCCTTTTTTGTGTCAGATCCAGGTCATTACAAAGTCTGGTTGTGCCTACCACTTCGAAAGTCGCCTGAAGAGCTTTGGTCGAAGAACAGAGCATTTTGTAAGTCGCGCGCCGACGTGATTTCTTCAGCGCTGCCATTCGGTCGTGGTGAGTTGCGCTCTGCCGCGTGATCGACTCTTTGGCGCTTGGAGTCGCGATCAGAATGCGCGCTCTTGGTGTTGGCCTCGAAAGCCGTTCTTTTCCCCATGTCGCATGTCCCGTTGTAACTCACAATCGCATCTCTCAAAAAGTTCTGGAAGTTCTCCCGGGATACGTGCAGGGATTAGCGCGCTAGCCCGAGGTCCATGCGTGCTCCAATCGGCGAATGTCAGCCATAACTCCGCACTTCAGTCCCTCTTGTTGTCCTGTATCATCTTCGACCACCTGGCGTCGTACAGCATTGAAGTGTCTGTCGCAATGATTTGACCCGGGTGTCACTGGGCTTCAACATTGTAGTAAGCAAACATGTGCAGTGAAACCTTTACGTCAATTTTCCACAATTCTTTCTATTGTTCGATATGTGATGTGATATATTGTCTACCTATCCAGAAGCGAATCTTTCTGCCATCTTTCCAATTACAATATCCTAGGATGACAAAGACCAAGATGCGATTGTGACTCTGCAAGAGCTCAATATGTTTCCTCTAATGGTGGTGGGATGGTCCCGATAACTTCTTCGTGATAGCGTGGTAACAGCAACAGAGATGCATGATATACAAAAAGAGAGAATGACAAAGACTCCAAATATGCCGTAGTGTCGCGATACCATGCAGATGAATCAGGGCTCGAAAATGAGTCGTGACTTCGGCCCAAAGTCCCGCGCGACGAGTAAGACCCAGATATAAAACGCCGTACAAAGTTTTGATGGTAGGTTGCCGCTAAACAAGCAGATCCGAGATATGTTCAAATAGAGAACAGGGTATCATGTAGCGACGTGAAAAGGAAAAAAAGAGGTCAAGGGAAAGAGCAGCGAAAACGGGAACTATTGTTGGGTATTTTGGAAGGATAATTTCTGCGTGTTTTTTGCTATCGTTTTAAGGGTTTGTGGTACTTTGAGCCCGAACTTATCGAGTTGTTCTTCTCGCGGATTTTTATTGTTGGTGGAGGTTCCTGGTTCTTGACGGAGAGGAGGGCTGAGATGGCAAGGGTGATGAGTGTGATGAGCTCTGCGGTAGCTGCACCAATAGCAGTGTAGAATGCGACACCCTATATAGTGTGTTAGTGGTTGTTGTAGTTGGAAGACGCGGATCTGAATTACCTGCTCTTCGCAGACAGCGCGGTACTGGTACCGTCCATTGGTCAAGACATTCGCGTTGGTGCACGAGTACCTTCCCAAGCTGGCTTTACTTGCCTTGTCCAACAAGTTGAACACGACCAACGCTGTGACCCACATGATGACTCCAAAGCTTCCAGCGACGATGCGGTAGACGTCCCGTGAGCGAAA